TTGCCCCCACTTCTTTGCCAATCACAGCAACTAAGGAGCTATACAGTTACTATATAGAAATAGGTTTCCGGTGAAATATGCCCTGACTAATAGCACTTTGTTAGACACTTTCTCTTTTTAATCCCAGTGTGCATCAGATTTTTGGACAGAATTGTTGTCTCTTTGTGAAAAGTATGAAGGTTGTATCTATAGCTTTTGAGAATTTATTTTTAACCAGCTTTACTGAGTCTTAAAGTCAGCCAGGATTTCTGATTCTGGCTGAGAAATGGTAGCGACTACATTTGCCTTGAGAAAATAGAAGTTTTAAAATAATAAGGCAAATGCTCCTTCATGTACTATATCCCACAGCTCGTTTGGGTTTTGCAACCTCATTATACTGAACAGTCTGGTCCTCCTCTTGCTCTTCCTGTAACGAAATTACGTGGCCCATCACTTCCTTTTGGAGGTCGAAAGAAATGAAATTCAGGGCCTGGGAAAATGGTTTTTCTAATTTCTATGCTGCTTAAAGCTCTTATTCAGACATGTATGAAAATCCAGGGGGATAATTGACTAGGAAAATCATAAGGCTTCAGGGACAGTAGTCAGGCTGAGAATAGCTTTTGAAAATCAGTGCGATTTAGCCTTTCCTGCTGGTTTCCCATCCATAGAACTTCTGTCCTATGATTGCCTCTGGAGACTGTGGGGATGCCCAAAAAGCTGTTTACCTTCTGTTGTAACACCTCCCAAGGCAACCCACTCCATTTTGGGCTATGCCTATTATTATAAAGTTCTTCCTTGTATTGAGTCAAAAATCTGTTTCCCTATAACTTTCCCTAATACTGGCTTAAATATAGATTTTTTTTTTTTTTTTGAGGACTGGCCTAGAAACATAGCCACCGTATAGAACACTGTTTCCCAAAGAAAATGCATTTAGAGTTCAAAGTAAGTAATCTTGTGGAACACAGCACAGTTCATAAATTGGAGCATGCCCAGTAGGGAGCCTGGGAGGCATGACCCAGGAAAGAAGGGAAAGGCCAGTGCCTACAGGGTCAGTTTACAGAGTCCATCTCTTCCTACCCTGCCTCTCCCAGGTTTCCTGGCTGTTGACATTTACAAACACTGTGGAAATGGGTTCAGGATGCTGGTTTCCTCATAACTCCCTCTTAGGAAGCCCTTAGGCAGCGTAAAGAAAACCAGGTTTCTGGCTACAGCACTCAGCTACCTAGAGGACAGGGTGGATAATACGGGAGGGAAGAGGAGCCCAGCCCTAGGCCCTGCCCACTTCTCCTTACACTGCCACAGGGTCAGCTGCATTCAAGTTGGACAGAGATGGGTTTGACTCTGGGCTGGACCACTTAGTTACCAAGTTGCTGAAAGTCACCATCTGAAAGCCTCAGGTTGTCATCCACAAGACAGAGATTAAGAATAAATGGGATGAGGCCGGGCGCGGCAGCTCACACCTATAATCCTAACACTCTGGGAGGCTGAGGCAGGAGGATTGCTTGAGCTCAAGAGTGCCAGGCCAGCCTGTGCAAGAGCGAGACTCTGTCTCTACTAAAAGTAGAAAAACTAGCTGGGTGTTGTGGCTGGTGCCTATAGTCCCAGCCACTCAGGAAGCTGAGGCAGGAGTTTGCCCAAGAGATTGAAGTTGCTGTGAGCCCAGGGTGCAAGAGTGAGACCCTGTCTCAAAAAAAAAAAAAAAAGAATAAACGTGATGAAGCATGTAAAGAACACAGTACTGCCCAATAAATGTTGTTTTGACAGACACATACACGTCTAACTGTATTCCAGACTGTGCCCTTCGTTCATGAACAATCCAAGCTCCCTCCCAGGGTGTGGACTGAGCAGACACCATGTCCCCTGCTTTAGCTGGTGACTTAGCCCGTTGCTTTCGGCCAGAGCTAGGTTCAAAGTCAGATGATTCCACAGCTTCAAAGTGGGTTCTCCTATATATTGCTGCTGTGGCCTCTTGGTTTTCTTCTCAGGGCCCAAACCAGAGTCATTCAGTTTCTTAAATGTTTTTTTTCCAGAATGTACTTGGTAGAAGAAAGAAATACTCAAGACACTACATTTTTCCCTTTGCATGTCAGATTTCATGTTGGTTGGTCGTTCGTTTTGGTTCTCTTACAGGTATGTGCAGGATCCCTGACATGGCGAACATTGCTGGTTGATCACGCCATACACGTGAGGATATTTATTCCTCATCTTGCCTTTTAAAGGAGCACAGTACAGCTTGCAGTGGAACTTGTTTTCATTTATATATATTTGCCTATGTGAAAGAGGAAAATGACGTATAGTATTTTAAAATAAATTAATTAGGGTAGGTTTTATTTATTTATTTTGTAGAGACAGAGTTTCACTTTATTGCCCATGGTAGAGTGCAGTGGCGTCACACAGCTCACAGCAACCTCCAACACCTGGGCTCAGGCGATTCTCTTGCCTCAGCCTCCCGAGTAGCTGGGACTACAGGTGCCGGCCACAACACCGGGCTATTTTTTGTTGTTGTTGCAGTTTGATTGGGGCTGGGTTTGAACCTGCTACCCTAGGTATATGGGGCTGGCGCCCTGCCCACTGAGCATAGGCGCCACCCTGCAGGTTTTATTTTTTAACTGTGGCGGTCAAATTCTCAGGGTTGTTTCAATGACAAATCAGTGCCAAGGTGAATAACATTGGCTCAGGAGCTCTTCTTGTAGAAGAGTTAGGAATAGAGGGTTGGGGAGAAAGGCCCTTCACAGGCAGGCTAAAGAGTGCATGAAGGGCTTTGAGTACCTGTTCTGCTGCTCAGTGGTGGTGACCTTGGGTGTGTTTCATAGGGTTATTAGGAAAACTGAGCCGGTCAGGGGGAAGCAGTATGCAGCTTTAAGGCGTCATATGGCCCTTCTGATCCTCAAGTACCCTTTTTAAAAAGGATTTGCTCTGTAAAATTTGGATTCAGTCAAAAGGCTATACACAAGATCCAGAAGGCTGCATGTGGCCCCAAGGCTGGAGGTTAAAAGCATTAAAGCACTTAGCATAGTGCTTAGTATTTAATATGTACCCCAGTTGTGTGGTTTTTAAAAGAGCGAGAGAGAAAGAATCTTTTTTTTTAATTGTTGAGGATTCATTGAGGGTTCAAGAAACCAGGTTTCACTGATAGCATTATTAGGTAAAGTCCCTCTTACAATTGTGCCTTGCCCCCAAAAGTATGTCACATACCGAAAACCCACAGCCCTCTCTCTGCTCTTCCTTTCAGCCGGAGAGAAAGAAATCTTACTGGTATAAACTCTGTTCATTCTCTTGGCTCTGGATCATCAGTTACAGACCTCATGGCTGGGTGCGGTGGCTCATGTCTATCTATAATCCTAGCACTCTGGGAGGCTGAGGTGGGGGATTGCTTGAGCTCAGAAGTTGAAGACCAACCTGAGCAATAATAGCAAGACCCCATCTCTATAAAAAAGAGAAAAAGTGAGGCAAGATAATTGCTTGAGCCCAAGAGCTTGAGGTTGCTGTGAGCTATGACACCACGGCACTATGTTGAGGGTGCCAGAGTGAGAGGGCTCTATCTAAAAAAAAAAAAAAAAAATCCAGACCTCATGGAGTTATAGGATGTTAGATGTTTAAATTACTTTTCCATTAGTGGTGATGGATTAGGAGGAATCATTCCCATGTTTTCTCATTTAGTCCCCCCTGGTGGCCAAAAGCAGACATTTATGAAGCAATGTGATGTATTAGAAGAAAACTGGCCAAAGAATAGGTTTTTATCTGAGTGCAGCTGCCTGGGCCTTTGAAGAGTCAGGCCTACTGTTTGGCCCCTTCAGTGAAGTACTAGTGACAATAAACTTCATGGCCCCCGAAGCTCACTCTTACCTGCCTGTCATCTTGTGTTCAGTCCTTTAGCAAACATTTACTGAGCACCTCCTGTGAGCAGACATTTGCCTTGGTGATACACCAGTGAATAAGGCAAAAATCCTGTCCTTGCAAAGCTTACATTCATTTTGGGACACAGACTAAGAAGGTAAATAGTACACAGTGGTGACAAATGTAACAGAGAAATTTCAGCTGGAGCCCTCCTGGACAGCAGGGTTCTGGTTTTAAATAGGGCCATCAGGGAAGGGTTCAGAGAGGAGCAGAGACTTGAAGCAATGAGTAGACCTTGGAAGTCCAGGCAGAAGGACAAGGCAGGAGCGTGCCAATAAAGAGGCCTGTGAGGCTGGAACAGACGGAGCCTTGCCAGAGCCCCAGAGAGGGCTACCGGTCAAGTACGGCCTTGCAGGCCATGGTGAGAACACTGGCCTTTCCTATTATGGAAAGGTTTGGAGCAAAGGAGTGATGTTACCAGGCTTAGGTTTTAACAGTATCACCCTAACTGCTGTGTTGCGAATAGGCATGGGGGCAAGGCTGGAGTTAGAGAGAGATGGGGGGCTTGACCCAGGGTGGTAGCAGTGGACATGGCCAAGTATCTTCTTTGTGCCTTTCTGAAATGACCTTTTTTCTTTTTTTTGTCAAGAATATATTTCCTTAAGGTTATTTTATTTGTAATTCCATGTCAATATTAGATGTCTGAATTTTCCCTGTTTATTTCATTTGGTGTTAGTGGGACATGTGTATATGAGTGTTGAGAGGAAAGTTAATTAAATCACTAATAGAAGTGGCTTTTTGTATTTGTTTGTTTTCCTTAAATCACTTCAGGAGAGGCCAGGCACAGGGAGTCATGCCTGTAATCCCAGCACTTTGGGGAGCTGAGGCATGAGGATTGCTTGAGGCCATGAGTTGGAGACCAGCCAGACAACATAGTGAGACCCCATCTCCATAAAAAGTTAGCCAGGTGAGGTAGTATATACTTGTCATCCCAGCTGCTCGGGAGGCCAAGATCAGAGAATCTCTTGGGCCCAGGAGTTTGAGATTGCAGTGAAAAAAAAACACCTCAGGAGAAAGGATCACTGAAAAGAATGGCACCTCACTGTTTGTATGTGAATCTTGTTCTTGAATACTGCACACATGCCTTCTTCCTCAGTTTTCCCTCATTTAATTGTAGGTCCCACATCCTTTTGTAGTTCGTAAGCATGATGATTGGGTTTTCACACTGATGTGCGAGATGTGCCTCCCTCAAGCCTTCTTACAAAGCAGGCACATCACCTGTCTGATGGGAGGGAAAAAAAAAAAACAGCAGGTCCTCTGATATTATGTCTTATCCAGTTTCACCTAAAAGACAACTACCTCACCGCAGGACACCCTATTAGTACTTAGGCGCATGGAACTTGGGAATTCAGTGACTTCTTCACCATCTGAGTTCTAGCTGTTCCCTACATATGATACATTTATTAGGACTATGGTTTTGTTTTTGGTATTTGGCAGATTTTCCTATGTAGGAATTATGCAAAGAGATTTCTCCCTTTTGGAGATAATGAAACTCCTGAAAAGCCAAATTTGTTCAACAATATCATCATGAAAGAGATGTGTGCGGCTCTGGTCCAGATTAGCATTTAGGTTCGCATTTATGCAGTGAATGGTAGGATTCGTTCATGCACTTTCCTTTCTTCCTGTAACTGCTGAGGACACGGCCACTTTAAGGGAGCTGGACTAAGGGAGCTGGACCAGAAGAAGAGCTCATTGCTAAGGTTCATTCTGTATTTACTGAGCTCTTACCATGTACTCCAGAGGTACTTTGTGCTATAAGCACAGTGAATGGCTTTCAAATTAAGAAGTGGGAATTATTGTCAGACAAGCAATGATTCTGCTTCAGTGATTATCAGGACAGAATGTTTGAATGACATATTTTCTTGGAAAATAAGGTAGAAGGTATAGCTGAGCTTTGGTTTAAAGAAGGAAAGGACTTAGGGACTTGATTCCCTCCCACATGACTATTTATTTAGAGACAAGGTCTCACTCTGTTGCCCAGCTAGAGTGCAGTGGTGTCATCATAGCCCACAGCAACCTTCAAATCCTGGGCTTAAGCCATCTTCCTGCCTCAGCCTCCTGAGTAGCTGGGACTATAGGTGTGTGTCACCATGTCTGGCTATTTTTTGAATTTTTTTTTGTAGACACGGGTTCTCCCTGTGTTGCTCAGGTTGGTCTTGAACTCCTGGGCTCAGACCATCCTCCTGCCTCAGACTGCCTAAAGTGCTGGGATTATATGAGTCAGTCACCACACTTGGCCCACGTGACTCTTAAAATCTTGATATATATACAATTATCAATAAAAGGTAGGATAAACATGTGGTTAGAAGGAATTTTCTTTCAGCACACATTAATACAGTTGTTTTTGTTTATAAGCTTACTGTGACATGATCTTTTTAAAAAATATCTTTTTTTCATTAGTATAAAATTTGATCAGTCTTTTCATAGTGCTGGTCATGTGAGAAATGGAAGCATGGAAAGTAATTTCTCCCCACAACTCTTTCTTAAGTGGTGATTGGCTATCTGCTAATGATGCTAAGACTCTTGGTAGCTCTGTGTGTGTTAAACTATATCAACAGGATTTTTCGTTTGTTTGTTTGTTTTGAGACAGAGTCTTACTTTGTCACTCTTGGTAGAGTGAGTGAGTGGTGTCACAGCTCACAGCAACCTCAAACTCTTGGGCTCAAGTGATTCTCTCGACTCAGCCTCCTAAGTAGCTGAAACTACAGCTGCCTGCCACAACACCTGGCTATTTTTGGAAATGGGGTCTCGCTTTTGCTCAGGCTGGTCTCAAACTCCTGAACACAAGGAAAATACCAACAGGTTTTATAATAAACACAAGCAAAGTCAACTGGGAGGCTTCATGGAGGAGGTGTGACGTAGAGGGAATCCCCCAAACATTAAGCTTCTGTCACTTTAGTCACTACAGCTGGTCCTGATTTCCAAGTACATAAATCTCCTGGTAAGTGGCTTTGCTGGCCCCAATTCCTAATAGGCATTTACCTATATGACATCTATTTATGTATCTGGGTCATTGTGAAACCAGAGGTGTGAGCTGCATTTGTATAGTCTTAACCTCTGGTTTGCTCCCTTCTCCTTTTCACTGCTCTTGAACACTAGAAGTTGGAGTAAGACACTCCTTATTCATATGGATGAAAACCTTATGTCCTATCTTAAACATTTTCAAGGGGACTTCAACAATGCTTATAAACAAAAAGTAATACCAAGAGGCTCAGAATATACTACCCTTAACATTCCTCCCTGATGTGGTGGAACATTTCTCAGTGCACTGGTACACATGGAGTTAAATTTCTTTTTTTGCTTTGTGGGAGTTCTTTGGGGATTTATATTTTCAGGTGAAGAATATCTAAAGTCCAGAAGCTTGTAGAGTGTAAATAATACAAAGGAAAGGAGAAATCAATTCAGGGCCACCCATTCTTTCTCATTCCCCAGTGGGATAACCAGAATCCCTAATAACATGTTTGGAAATTCTCTGTGACACTATTTATTGAATAATGAAATTAAGTATAAGGTAGAGCTTTGGGGCACTCATTTGAAGGAGTTTAGTTATTTAAGTAGTAGAAGGGTCTCTTCATAAAGTCACATTTATTAACTATATAGCCTTGATTTTCTGTCATAGGCCAATTTCAAAGATCTCCACCATGTTCAGAGCTGGTTTTTAATCCAGAAAATACTGTCATCATATGGATCAATTTCCATCACTTCGCGGACCACTTCTAGGACATTAAAGCCAGCCACCTTTTCGAGTTACCCCTCAGCAAGGCTCCCCTAGGCTGAACACAGAGCCCAGCCAGCACAGGCCTTTGGTGAATGCTGTTCTGTTGAGCAGTGTGTTCTGCATCTTAGCTAATAGTTGAACTTGATTTTGGCTGCTCTGAAGATCATTGGGCAATCCAAAGCAGCATGATCTCACACTGGATGGGCCCCTGGAGATGTCACTGGGCATGTCCTTTCACTTTGTAGAGGACAGGCTAAAGTGCAAGCTGGTGAATGCAACTTAAAGCAACCGAGAGAAGGAAGCATGGTCCGCTGGACTTACAGCATGCCTGAAGCCATTTCCTATGAAATGATCAGTTGCTTTCACTGCACACATAAAGAGCCTGTGATGGACACACAGCCTGGCCTGGAATTTCTGGCTTTTCATCGTGCTGGTTGAAGCCCTTTTCATATTTTCAAAAGCATCTGTGATCTGTTAGAGATAATCTGCATTTCATACCCTGACTGAAGGGTCACTGATAAAATCCAAATAGAGGCTAGAGTTCGCGACGAATTGCCCTAAGCTCAGGACCTAGCTCCTGAAACGTGAAGTCTGTGAATTGGCTACAGGATATAATAATATTTAAATATGAAATCTAATCTCAGGGGGCTTTACTGGGTGAGTAAAGAGTACATGTCTTCTCATTAGTATACCTGTGGTCAAAGACTTGAGCTGGTATTTTGTTTCCCAGCCGTCTTTAAAGAGAAAAAAAGGTTCTTTCCGTCCCGTGTCTCCTACTTCTTCTATTAGCAGTGACCTTCATTGATTCGTCCACTCTGTTCTGTGTCTCCTTATGGCTTCCCGTCTTTCAGCACTGTCCTCCCACATTCTAGTGACACTAGTCTTCCTCAAACCTTAGCCCTTGCTCTTCCCCCTCTGCTGCTGTTTCCTGAGTCTCTTTGTTCCCTCAGCTGTCACTTCTGGCCTCAGTCCTGACCTGTAGCTCTGACTCACTCCTGAACTCCAGCCTCAAACCGTCAGCTGCCTTCTGAGCACGTTCCCTGTGTGGCCTTTGATCACCCCAGGCCCAGTGGATAACAGGGCTTGGGCCAGATGGTCTTTGGATTTCCCTCCTGGTTCTCTGGCTCAGGTTTAACAAATCAGCATTTAAGATTCTCTCACTCCTCTCTCTCTTCTCAACCTCCTTATCCTTTTTTAATGATGCCACTAATCTCTCAGCCATGTAACACCCATTCTCTTCCCCACCGCACCCCACCCCCACACTGGCAAGTACACACAGACATAAAAACAAAATGCAGATTATCTCTAAGAGATCCCAGATGCTTTTGAAAGTGTGAAAATGGCTTCAAGCAGCACTATGAATCAAAGGGTTGAACTGGCCAAAATACTTGCCTAGAGAGGAACAGCTCAAAACATACTTCACATTGCCATTAAGGTAACAATAAACATCATCATGTATAAGGAAAAGGTTTTGTTATGCTACTGAGCTTATGAAATTTTAGATGTCTGCATAATCTACAAATGTGTGCCCTGTTAGGCATTCTTCCTTCTCTCTCTCACCCAGGAGTTTCTTGCTACCTCAGAAAGATAACACAATATTGGACTTCGGATCTAGAATGAACCAACTTTCTTACCACTGCTGCTGCTGGTTTATCAGTTCCAGGGAGACTTCATGAACTTTCTTTTGCTTGTTTGCCCAAAGGCACATAAATATATTTAAATATACTTGAGATTCAGATTTGTTGTAGCGGAATGTTAGAGCTGGGGAGAAGCAGTGGGAATCAGGTTTCTCCACTTCTTCCTCTTACTGAAGAGGGAACTGAGGCCCAGAGAGGTTAGGTGATCTGCCCAAAGTCACACAGCTAATTACTAACAAAACTGTAACTGAAGCCCTGATCACCTAACCCCTAGTTCAGAGCTTTAACTTTCTTTTAAACATATTGAGTCCCTTCCTGCTACCCATCAGGAGTAATTTCTCAAGCCCAGGGAAAAAAACCCAATAAATTCTAGTTCTTAGTCTGTTTTATGTTTTTTTACACTAGTGAAGCAAAGGCAAATTTCATATATTTTAAAACACAAGGTATACACACAAATAATTTGTGATACAATCTTAAGTTGTAAATGTAACAGATTCACACTGTTATTTTTTAAGACTTAAGGAAAAGAGCACGAGATTATAGAAGCTGCTGGTTTCTTTACCTTTCTGGTTGCTTTGTCCACCTCTGCAAAATCAGGTCCCCGCATTGTGCAAAGACTCACACTCACCCCCCCAATCCCCTCAGCACGCAAATCCACATAAAAGTCAGCTGAAAGAGTAGTTTGTTGCCCACTTTTCCTCTTAAATCCTAGTTTCTGAGGAAATCTGTATTTTAATTATGATATATATGGAGTTTCTGTGCCAGATGTTTTTTTTTTTTTTTTCTGAGTCATAGAACTATCTGGAATGGAGGCAAGATAGTTTATAGTACCTCTATATGTAGTTGCCAAGAAGGAATTAACCTGTAAACCTC